AGAATCCATGCTTTTAACTATAGTGCAAGCTACACCTCTCACCAGAGATGTTGTGTTGCTAATCAACCACACATAAACATGGATACAGCAAAGCACTTCTGTACTTTTCCCATCAAGTCTCCCATCAGTTCATAAAACCCTCTACAACAGATGCAGCTGACACCCTGCTTCATATTCCCCAGCTGTCCAGTTTATTTATAGCTACAGTAAAATTCACACACACACAAAAACGGGCAACTTCTCACCTGGGCCTCTCTAGACCTTGCCTGAAGGCGTTTCAGGGAGCGGGACCTGGAAGCAGGACCTAACCAAGACAGGCACAACCCAGAATTGCAGGAGACTTAAAAGGCTCTCAGGGCAAACTTTAATTAATACAAAACAGGTATTGATAAACAAATGCTCGCCTCCCCATCCCATTCACTTTCTTAGACAGTCCTCAGTGGAATTGAGTCTAGTTAGCCCACAGTAATAATTTGTTCATTTATGCACCTTGTATTGGCTCTTCACACTTCCCTATCTCACTTACCAAGTTCCTCACTGTGTTTTCTGGGATCTCCTCTTAAATAGACTATCTGTATCCAAGGCTTAGTCTTGGGGTCTACTTTGAGGCAACTCAAATCAAAACAAATTCAGCTGGGCATCTGGAAATTTCCTGCTCTCTCAAATCTCATAGTTTCCCTTGACCCCAGCTCTACCTATCTGATCACCAAGTACCAGGCATCATGGGAGCATCAGGAGTGGCATGACAAGAGGCTTAGGAGACTTTAGATCCTCTGGATTCCTCAAACTGAAAGAAAAACACTTCCTCTTATTGACATTGACCATTCTCATAATATCACTTCAATGTGTCATGATGCAAGTTCTTTCTCTCTACTCTTATTAAGGATCTATCAAGGAGGCAAAGTAGGGGTGTGGAGGGGGTGAGAAGAGAAGTAAACATTATCCCCTCAGATGAGGGTTCCAAAAATTGAAAAAGGGTTAATTATCATATCATGAATGTGCTGTGTCATTAGGAAGCCAAATGTCCTTACTAAGTGATATCTTTCTGAGACTGTGATTCACTAGAAAGAATATGCACAAACCTGGAAACATACAGACCTTAGTTTAAATGCCAGCTTCACCACAAAGGATATGACCTGGAGCAAATTAACTTCTGGAAGCCTGATTTTTCATACATGTATAATAATGTGGGACTATCTGCCTTCCAAAATTGTTGAAAGCTTAAATGAGATAATGCATTTGAAAGTTGCTGGCAGGTGTTTAATAAATATCTTTCCATCTCTATACATATCCCATTGCAACTCTCCGCCCCACAGAGAAATAGCCACGGCCAATTTTCCTAACTATACTCAGTCTTACACATGCAGGGATATCTGATGATCTGTTGTACTAACCTCCTGGAAATTCTACGTATTTATGGTCAAAAATTTTTACTCAATGATCATTTCTTTTTTGTCCATTATGTGCCAGATTCTACAAGTTAACTAAGGTAAACTAAAGAACTCAGAGAAAATGTAGATGAAAATAAACATCAGATTTTGAAACACTTGTATAACATACATGCATTAACATAGCCAGATATATGGAAAGTCGATTGAAGACAGTGATAGCTTTTGAAATACTTGTATAACATACATGAACATAGCCAGACATATGGAAAGTCGATTGAAGACAGTGATAGGTGTTATTTACCAATGATAATAGCAAGGTACTTATAATAAAAGCAAATAAATAATCATCCCTGCCTCTTTGAGAAATAGACTGATTTTCAACAAACTAATGCAAGAGAAGGAGGAGGAAGAAGTGGGAGAGGAGGTGGAAAAGAAGTAGAAAAAGAAGAGGTGGCAGCAGCAGCAAAAAGCATTGGTCATCTTTTGTCTCTGATTCCAACATAGATTCTCCTTCCTTTACATCTCTTCCACAAAGAGTTATGTGGTTCATACATTATATACAGTATATGAATCTTCTTCTTTTCTTTTTTTTTTTTTTTTTTTTTTTTTTTTTAGTTGGAGTTGTGCTCTTGTAGCCCAGGCTGGAGTGCAATGGCTCGATGTTGGCTCATCGCAACGTCCACCTCCCGGGTTCAAGCAATTCTCCTGCCTCAGCCTCCTGAGTAGCTGGGATTACAGGCATGTGCCTCCACACCCAGCTAATTTTGGATTTTAGTAGAGTCAGGGTTTCTTCATGTTGGTCAGGCTGGTCTCAAACCCCTGACTTCAGATGATTCACCAGCCTCGGCCTCCCAAAGTGCTGGGATTGCAGGTGTGAGCCACTGCACACAGCCATGATATCAATCTTCTAAATACACAGACATTTAGAAGATTCAGCTGAAGATCCTATATATAAATGGTTTTTTACATTTTGAACAACTTAGCAAGATGGTCTAGCTTCAAATTACAGAAGCATACATATATGTAAATAATTGCTCTCCTAGGACATGAGGGCTGGACTCTGAGGCCTCCTTACTCTAGGCTTCAACTCTTTCAGAGCAGGAGCTATGCTTAAGATCCCACTGGAAAGCTGGAGACAGGATGAGAAATGTCTTATTTGTTCCACCACTGCCTCTCACAGTTACTTCCATCCCACAGAGACAGAGAAAAGCACAAGGAGCTGTGGCCTAGGGTCTCCCGACACCTGGCTTGCCCCACAGCCTGTCACATATGTCACAGTGGCCCATGCACTTATTTGGTGACTGGAAATTATGGAGAGTGGAATGGCCTCAGCCCTCTCACAGAGTCGCACAACTGACGCAACACGTGCATTTGCATGTGGGATCCACAAAAGATTCAGAACCTTCTGCAGGACATTTTCATACATTCCAACTTTCAGTAACTGAACTTCTTACTCTGCTTATTCTTGGACTTTTAAAAATTATTACTCAGAACTCCTAGTTGCTGTTTCTAGTTTCTACTCCTGGAAAGCAGCATTTTATTTTCAAATACTTATTTTGCCATTTGGATGCAAAAACATAAATATCTGAATTTGAATACTTACCCTACCACTTAATAACTATATAAGCTCTCTGTGTCTCAATTTCCTCACCTGTAGGCTTGATGATATTTATACAATAAAATTGTTCTCAAGATTAAATAACTGTGCTATAAACTGTTATGTCTCATACAAATATGGAATAATAATTTTCCTTCTTAGAGATCAATACTTTTAGAGAGGAGACCACAGTTTACCAGGTTCTTGGATGGGGCCTGGGGTCTCTCATGCATTATCACCCTAACAAATACTGGGCAGTGGTGCTGACGATGATGGTTCATTCTTGTGGGCCACATTTTGCTGACTGGGTGAAATGGTTTGAGTGGTTACTACAACTTCTACATTGTGTCTGTTTTGTCCCATTAAGCCATTTAAAAATCAAAGCAGTACACAAGGTCACTGAATCATCCTTCTCTAGTTTAATTAAAAAAGAATACTAAACATAAGTAACTTCTCTCAGAGCTGAGAAGGTAAATGACATTTCAATTACCTCAATAATTTCTGAGTCATCTTCTTCAACTAATATGTAGCATTTTCAGTGCATCAGTCCCTACACTGCACAGTGGTAGGAAAGATTTATCAAGCAACTTCCAACAGCACAGAATCAAACCTTTATGGAAGTAATTCAATAAGTACTGATAACCAGCCTCAGAACTACCTTTGTATAGTACACAAACCAATATATTCAAGCTGGAACAGAAGAACCTTTGTCATTGTGTATAATGTGGTTTCTTAGGTCACAAATGATGAAACTGAGGACCATAGAAACAAGATTGTAGCAAAACTGATTTTTGGTTCATTTACAGTGAAGATTGAGTTCCAAACTAACCTCAAGCAAAGACCTAAAAAGGAAATTATACGCATCAAAATATACACAATCTAGGGGCTGGCCAGGATACCCACCAACAAAACCCTTTTTCCCATTGCTACTGCTCCAAAATATCAGCACTAGAATTTATTCCATATATTGTTTAAAATGTAGGGCTTACTTTCAAAATGTATCCTCTGGAATTGATAGAAGAATCATGGAATATTTCAAAGGCAATAGGCATAAAAGGCTTTAAGTTGCTATGAGAGAGGCAGTCAAGGAGAATGCGGCGCCTGAATCAGCTACTTCTGTCAATTCTAAAATATAGAGGACAAAAGCTTGTTGTGGGATGCAGTTTCCTCCTTATCCTTCTTCAAGGCCGTAAAGATAGGGATGAATCATTCATTCCTTTACCTGCACTACAAATCTTAGCATCACGACCCATGCTAGTACTCCTAGGACACAAGCTGGCAGAATAGGAGTGGGGAGAAGAAAGATCTCAGGAAAACTACTTGAGACACAGCAGGGTTCAACACTGGTAAACTTTTCTTGCAATTAGGAGACTCCCAAGGCTGAATTCTCAAGTAGGTAATATTTTTCTATCTTTCCATCCTTTTTCCAAGACCTTCTCTGAGGACTTGGTTCCCCTACTTTCTCCCCCCACGTCCCATAGGGCTCTTTATATTCCATTCATTCCATTTTCAGGGGATCTGGGTTCTTTCAGCTGTAGGAAGATTAAATTTCTGCTCAATTATGATACCTCTCAGCTGTATCTTCTTTTTAAATGACTCCCTATAAAATCAAGAAGCCTTCAAAAGCCAACCAAATGAGGTTTGAATGGAGGAATCTTAGTCTGATAAATGGATAGGAGGTCCCCTTTAGACAGTGTGGGGTAGTGGGATTTCCTATACCCCCTACCCTGAACCAAAATCATGTGTAGTAGTAGCTATTTCTGTGTTAGGGTCCAAATTGTAAGGTTTACTTTAAAACAAAAAGGCCATCAGTAGCATTAGCACTGACTTCATCAAAACTAAAGGAGATCCTGAAGAGCAACCCGTAGGCCAAGGTACCACTTATGCACCAAATTAATTAAGCTTCATGAGACCAAAGGACCAAGTTAAGGAAGAGAGTAAATCTCACCCTCATTGACCCCTTCTGTTATACCCGAGCGAGTTTAAACAGAAGCGCCACGCACTGAGTTTGCTGAGAGTCCACCTTTAATTGGCCGGCATCCGAGAGTCAGCTAGAGCTCAAACCTCTCGGCCATGAACAAAGGGCAGTTAACATTTTTATATACAGTTTAGGGTCGGGGGTGGTAAGCAGATTATTACAGAAGCAGAAGGAGCAGCTTAGGGGGAAGCAGGGGGGTGCCTAACAAAAAATTTCTACTTAAAGTTGTTTTTTACTCAGGATGTGGGGTAGCAGTTGCACGGTTGCAAGTACAGGATGTACAGGCCAGTGGGCCCTGTTTCTCAGAAAATTGGTTACAAAGATGCCAGGTGTCTCAGACCACAAGCTTTTAGAACAGAATGCCCTACATAGCTCAGGGTGGGCAAAATGGAGTTAGCATGATTGTTTAAAACGTATTTATTACAGCCAAGTTACAGTATTTCGCTTCCTACTTTGGGGCTTTTGCACCTGCTTGCATTTGCATGAAATTCTTTTCCCAAGGATACTCCTCAGTTCCTACTTTCGCCTCATTAACCCCCACTCATCTTTCAGTGCTCAGGTGACATGTGACATCATGGAAGAGTTCCAAGGTGCCCAGAATAGATCATCTCCTCTTCCCCCTCTAAATTTCTCTGCTCTACCACTATATATAAATATGTATAGTCAGATGACATTAACTAACTCCAGGTATCTTTATTTATAATCATCATCTAACGGGGAGCATTCACTCAGCATTTTCCAAGAACAATACCATCTGTTGTTGGCAACAATAGTGCTACATCATAGAGCAACAACTGTGTGAAACTTAAATCAATTTAAGCACAAATCTACATAACAACTTAAAGTTCCAAGCATCAGCTTAGCAACAAACTTGGAAGCTAGTTCACTTCTAAGGTGGTATATGTTAATGTGTCTCCCTATGTTGGTATGAAAAACATTGTACTATAAAGATCTTGTTAAGTGAAAACAGAAATGGAAGTGTTTTCCAAGAACATCTATCTGCCATAATGCCAGATCAAATAATAAAATAATTCTTGCCCTATTTTATATATCAGAATTGCCTATTTAAAAATTTTTTCCCAACCTTTTCATTAAATACTTATAAAAACTTTGGACAAAAATCATCTAATAAAATAAAATGAGTACACGATGTCAGTTAAATGTTCAATAGGAATTCTGCAATGCAGATTTCAGCTAAACATCATATTCCGCTTGATTTAATGTCACCTTATGGAATAAAGTTATTTTACTGTTTTTTTTTTGTTTACTTTGACACCAAAAGGAAACTACAACAAATACATAGGAAGTACCTGTGAAATGCTATACTGTGCTGCCCAGATTCCCCTTCAGGAATGAGGGATTTATTTCCCCAGCTGCTGGCAGTATTGCCAGAGCATGGCCCTTTGCCATGAGCACTCTTGGAAGATTGTCTCAACTAAAGAAACATGCTTTGCCTAAAATCATGTCTACTTTAAAAATAAGGTCCTATCCAATCCCAATCATTGAAGGGATATAAAAGCCCAGCCACATTGCCCCAACTCTAAAGTGTCATCTCAGCTCCAGAGCTCCCCAAGGGACATGCTGAGGTCTTTAGCATGATATATCTTCCTATGTTGGTATGAAAATCACATCTCAACCTTTCTCTGCACAATTCTGTTTTTTAATTCTTCCTTCCAGTGGTATTGATCTCTAGGGTGCTTCCTAATAAATGTATTGCACATTAATCTCCACCTCAAAATTTCCTTCTGGGGAATGCCACCTACAATAGCCTGGAAGTAAAAGCCTTCAACAATTACAGTTGAGAAGTTGTCAATAGAGAAGTGGCTGAAAATTAAGGGCCCATTAAAGGGAACCTCAGCTGCTTCTTCCCATCCAAGGGCTTTGGCTTGTGTGGCTGGAAGGGTGAGGTGAGTGAATTTCTATGAGGGAAATTTCTTCGGAGGCCACTTTCTAGTATACAAATGTGTCTTGTTTAATAACAATCTGAGTGCTAACCATTCCTTAGATGAAGGCTTTGCTACCATGAGATATGTGGCCTCTAGGCCTTTGAGCTCATGGCTGACCCTCCAAGCCATCCTTGGAATTGGTCTTTGCCGTTTCTGTAGCTTCAGTCCCTCTGGGCTGTTCACCATCTCCTGGGATAGGTAGGATAGGTTTTGATGATTTATTGGCCCAGTTTACTTTTCTACTTATCTCCCCTCGCAAACTGAGAAGCGAAAAGAAAGGCACATTTAGTTTATTTCCCCTCTCATTCAAGAAAGTCCAGAATTTTGACCTTTCAATATAGTATGCTTTGGTTTCATATTATTTTAATATGCAGTTTTTATTAGAATGGTGCAGATCTCAGAACATTCAATTCATACAAGTCTATACTTGAAATACAAATATAAATTTAATTATACTGCTAACCCATATTTGGTTATTGTATTTTGTTTGCTTTTGATTTAATCATTCATTTATTCATTTTACTTGACATATATTTACTCAAGATCTTCTATGAATCACATACTTTAATATTCCTGTGAAGTAAATGTAACACCCAATGTCCTGCTGGCCCCTCATCCCAATGCAGTGCTCCTGCTAAAATCAATTTAAATTTTTTGTCCTAACTTTGAGTTTCTCACAAAACTCTCCATAGTTACATAACTCATCTATTATCAGGATCTACACGAATTCTACTAAAACATTGCAGATGGTTTACTAGCACTCACATGTTACATAAGTTTGATTTCTCCTCCCTCTTACTTACAGGAATTTTCTAGCTCATCTTTCTGGTATCTGTAAGCCTATTCCTCCCTCTTTCCTCTTGCCTTCTTATCTTTGTGAGTCTTGTTTCTACACTCTTTTAGCCTCTCGCCTCTATTAGAACATTTCCTTGAGAAAATTATTCTTAAAATTAAGCTAAAAAATATCTAAATGCCCTTAATAGGCACTCAGGGGTATGGGAACCAAGGGAAATTAGGAGAAGACATTGATTTAAGATTAATAAAAATGGGAATGACTTTAGTTTGGGCTAAAGCATAAAAAAGAAGAAAAGGTAAAGAAAGGGTATTACTACTGCAATATGTTGGACAGAAATTGTTGCATAAATAATATTCACAATATTTTAAATAACTTTTAAACTGACATTGTGGAACATTGAATAACTGCTTTGGTCTTTTTTATTAAAAACTGCTTTATTAAATATTATTTCAATTCATTTATATTTTTAAAAAAATACCCCATGCAAAGAAGCCTTACCAAAATGGTACTTCTCCCAATATTCTCAGAAATTAAATATTGTGTGTCAGGTTCCTAAATGCTCCACATACAACACCACAAGGAAATTTTTACTCTTATTATCCCAATAGAAGATGAAGTAAACCAAGACTAAAAAAAATGGAGCAATTTGCTCAAAGTTTCAGTCAAAGGATTTGAATTCAGGTAATCTACCTTGCAGTTTGCACTCCTCATTAGGACATGATACTGTCCCATTTGATGTAAGGTCTAGAGCCCTGGGGAATGTGTCTAGCCAAGATGAAAAGAAAATCAGAGTTTCTGGGTTTGGACTTCGAAAGTGAATTCAGACCTCTTGGCATTTGCATTCTCTTTGTGGTGGACAAAATGCAAACTTCTATTTGAAAAGAGGGAAAGAACGTGGTCTAAATGGCTTCAAGGTTTTTGAACATCAAGCAGTTTTTACCAAAGAACAGTACAATCACTGAAGTGTATCCAAATAAAAAAAATACATGGATTTGACAGCAATCTGATTCACAAAATACCCAGAGCCATTTCACGGTTATCATAGTTCCAAGTTAAATAGAAAGCTCTGTGTTGTATACTTCTCCCCGACTAATTCATTCCCGATTGGGTATTCCTGGTCTTCTAAGCACATGCCAGTGGGCACACATGGGGAACTTCATCGTTGAGGAAATGATGTCGGCGGGACCCAGAGGTTTGGCAGGGTGAGTGGCTTGGGGGCAGCCCTGGCTGGAGCTGCCTCCTCTCATATGGTCCAATTCAGCAGCACCAACTGAAAGTAGGCACTTTCGGTCTGGAAATTCACAATGGGTGAGTTTTTTTCCCAGTCCTTCAAAGTCAATGGATGAAGAAATGGGCAAGTAATTCATGCCTGCAACTTGGTAGTGTGGGCAGCTAGGATCAAAGGAAGGGAAATTGTACAAATTGTCCACTTGAATACAAAAAAAGTAAAGAAAGCCCAGCCAACTCAATCAAATATTGCTTTTTTTTTCCTTTAAATTCTTTATTTTTATAATTCAGAAGTTTGTTTTCAATGGCTGGGTAGAAAAGTGGCAGAAGTGGCAAGATTTTGAGATTGCTACTAGAAAACCTGACTTAGAAAGTAGTCTGAAGACTGAACTTTTTATTATTTTAATGCCAATGAGGCATAATTCAAATAATCATGCCAACCAAATTTAGGCTTTAATGACTTACAGAACACTGAGTTAGAGAATAGTTCTTCAACCTGAAGAAGAAACTCGAGCCAGGATGCAGCTGGAGCATAAAAACCTCACAAAACACAAAACATTTCTTATCTTAAAAACGAGAGAGCTGAACCACCTTCTCCACAGCTCCTTCCCATTCTAACATTCCATGACCCTATTGTATACTAAATGCATGTGTGGAGCTGGATAAGTCACTTAACTTTAGTCTAAAGGCTTTTGGTAATGCATCATAGAGTCCCCCATTCCTTAGATGACTCTCGTTAAAGCTCTGATCTTGTAGAACATTCCAGAGCCCAATGCTGAAAGTGAGATAAACTAGACTTGACCTAGATCTGACATTGGTTAACTACATGCAATTGGCATGCAATTAGTTTTATTTCTTCATCTGGAAAATAAGACTAATCCTTTTACTTCTAATATCTGGTTCTCAAATAATCACCATTTATTATTCTTATGACTCTTTATAAAATTATGTTAAATATTATTTTAATTATTTTAATATTTCTCGAGGTAGAATAATATTAGGTAGGTTTTAATGTCTTTAACATCAAGGAACCTATGAAATATAGGCAGCATCCTTAATATCATTTTCTTTAACATAGAAATAATGTAGGATTAAAGAATCCAAGAATCAGTACCTGATATGGTTTGGCTATGTCCTCATCCAAATCTCATCTTGAATTGTAGTTCCCAAATGTCATGGAAGGGACCTGGTGGGATTATAAATAATAAATAATAAAAAGTTCAGTCTTCAGATTACTTTCTAAGTCAGTTTTCTAGTAGCAATCCCCAAATGTCATGGAAGGGACCTGGTAGGAGGCGATTGAATCATGGGGGTGGTTACCTCCATGTTGTTCTCATGTTATTGATTGAGTTCTCACGAGATCTGATGGTTTTATAAGGGGCTCTCCTCCTTTTGCTCTGCAATTTTCTCTCCTATTGCCACATGAAGAAGGATGTGTTTGCTTCCCCTTCAGCTGTGATTGTAAGTTTCCTGAGGCCTTCTCAGCCATGCAGAACTGTGAGTCAATTCAACATGTTTTCTTTATAAATTACCCAGTATTTATTCATAGCAGTGTGAGAACAGACTAATACAGTGCCTTAAAACATATATATAAGTCATGAACAAGTATTTGAAGATATACCTTCTGGAGATAGATGACGTATCAGTTAATTGACAGAAAAATTTATTCACACTGTTTACCTGGCATTGTTAAGTAATTAGAAAGGAAACTAAACCAATGATGTTGCTGAGGAAGAATTAAAAATCAGGCAACAAAACATATAAAAGTATTCTTTTAGCCAAACTCTGTCACCAGCTCTTATTTGTGTATTGAATCTCGTTCCAGTAAGAGCACTATCTATTAATTTGAAACACCATCATGTTTTCTATGAGCACAACTGTATTCTAGAAAACTGAAAAACATCCCATGGCTCTATAATATGAAATATCAACCATAATTTACTTGTGACAAATAATTAGTATGTTGGAGAAGTCAGAAACACTTTAAGATATTTTACATGATTTGTTTGTATCTTCTTGTACCCTAGCTTAGGAAAGTTAGTGATTCAAGTTTATTGCTCTTAATGTCACCTACAAAGTCTTTATCCAAGTTTATTTAAACTCCTAAATCTTTGGAAATGGAAATGGGAAATTTCACCTACTGCAGATGTACACCTTATACTTTAACCCATGGATCTCGGATACGTTTCTAACATGACCGAATTCTCATTTTCTTCATGCTTAAATGAAAATACTCCATATTTACATGCTTTAAAAATCCAGAAATTGAGGTAAATATTGGCTTCTCTGGGTAACAATTGTTCAGAGACTAAATGATTCATATAATCCCCACATAGATTGTCATATATTTTGAGGACAGGGTCAGGTTTTTCATATTTTATCCAGTCCTTTCCACTCTCTGAGCACCATTCATCCAAAATTTTCCCAACAAAAATATTGCATACCTTGAGCTCTGTAAATGAGGCAGAGTGAATAACTAAATTGGTATTTTAATTTCCACTTCATATATGGTGGAAACATTCGTGTGAGTTTTGTCTTTGCTCAAAACCCTCTAGTGGCCTCTCATGTCACTTACTTAGAGGAGAAGCCAAAGCTTGTGATCCTCTACACCCCCTTCTGTTTAGCCTTTCTCCCCTACCTGCTGTCCTCTGCTCTTTTCATGGCTACTCCACTGCAGCTATCCCAGATACACTTCCACTCCATGTCCTTTCCAACTGCTGGTTCCCCAGCCTGACCCCTTGCTTTCTAAGGCATTCCTTTGGCTGTTCTGTTGGCTGGACTCCTTTAAGTTCTACCCAAATGTCACATTCTCAACTAGGCCTCTTCTCTCCACTTTTTCTAGCATTTTACCCATTTTCCCACATTATCTTTTTGATACTTAATCACTACTTGATATATTATATAAGCTATTTTATTTATTATTTTACTATTGACTGTACCCTCCAACTAGAATGTAAAATTCATGAGGGCACAGATTCATGTTTGTGTTTTGTTCACAACATACTTAGCATTTAATAAATATTTATTGAATGAACAGATGCATTTCTGGAGGTCCATAATTATAATTTTTAAAAAAGAGCATTTACACAAACTGGCACTAAATAGGTAGAGTCCATGTCCTTGTCTCTCCACAACTCAGGGAAGGATTATCTCAGACCTTCTCAATATCAGCTTCAATAAGTTTTCTCTTTTACCTTCTAAATCCACATAATGTGCTCCTTGAATAATCTTCATCAGAATCAACTTGAGTCTTTTTTGAAAATGGAGATTCCTAGGTCCTAATTCAGGTCAAAATCTCTGGGCAGGGTAGGGGACATTTGCAACTTATATTTTTAATGATCTTTTCAGGTGATACACACGCTAAAGTGCAATAGCCACTGACAGAAATATTTTTTGGCCCATTAATTTTCTTACTGTGTTTCTTCTCCTGTTCTGAGTTCTGTGTTCGGGTATATACAGCCAATGTCAGTTTATGTATTAGGAACCATATCCACACAGTTCTCCTTAAATTATGCTGGGTACAAGGACATACATGCTTAAGCAATTGTTTGAGGGGTTTTGATGGAAGGGATAAGCGGAATGATAATAATCATTGCAGTGAGGTTTATTTTGACCCTTGCATTCTTCGTTTTTACTAAAGTTTGGGAACTAAATTACTTTCAAGTCTGTTGTTTCAATGATAAAGGCATTTTATCCTACTTTTCATAAACATCTATCATGTCCAAACTTCTGAATGTTTTTTGCGTGTGTGTATGTCTTGCTCTGTCACCCAAACTGGAGTGCAGTGGCATAATCTTGGTTCGCTCCAACTTCCACCCCTGTGTTCAAGCAATTTGCTGCCTCAGCCTCCCCAGTAGCTGAGATTACAGGTACCCACCACCACACTCAGCTAATTTTTGTATTTTTAGTAGAGACAGGCCTTCACCATGTTGCCCAGGCTGGTCTTCAACTCCTGACCTCAAGTGATCCACCTGTCTGGGCCTCCAAAGTGCTGGGATTACAGGTGTGAGCCACCACACCCAGCCCCAATATTTTAAGAATAGTTTAACATGTTAAACTTAAACAAGTTAAACTATGGGACCCAGGTTCACCTGCTTTTCTCCTGAAATAACCTATTTTAGATGAAATTTCCAGTTAATATTCAGAAATCAAATAAATCTTACCAATACATCTTACCTCATTCAATGCTTTGAAATCTATTGAAAAACATCAGCCTTGATTATGTGCATTCTCAGAAGTATTTATCCATATAGCTCTTGTCTCCAGTGATCAAAGCGGAGAACCATAGACTTTTCAAAACCTCTTATAAAACCTAGCTTCAAACTGACTTGAGGTTTTTACAGTGAATGTGAGGTTTTACAAGGTAAGAGGGAAGTAAAATTTATTTTTTTATTTGTTTGTTTACCTAACCAGCACACATATTTTTCAAACAATTTGAGTTTGGCATTACCCATGAGGCATCTGGCTAAACACTTTCTTCCTTAATTTTTATAACCAAAGAAATTTTTCGGGAAATTTAATCCACATGTTTCTGATTCATTCCATATCCAGTAATGTGTCAGTGAGGGATGTTTGATTCCAAGACCTCTGGAAAAGATTTTTTTAATCTGCAGTTTCTAAGATGACAGGTAAGTGAGTGTAAATAATAGGCTTGCTCAAGGTGGGAGATCAGGCACGGCAAGATTGACACACAATGCACGCAATGAGCCAAACAGCCATAAGGGGCAAGTTTCCTTAAGGTTCTGGGAAGTTGAAGTAGCCTATTTTGACCTCAAATTTCCAGTGTGCTTAAACCAGTATTAGTTTACCAGCAGGAGTAATTCTATTTGCATAGAAACTCTACTCCAAAGGTTTGAGTATTCAATATTTATTGCATATGTAAAATGTGCCAGGTATTATTGCCATAGTCCATGGGGAAATGAGAGATGAATACTGTCTCATACTGATCTGAGTACTGATCTCAAAGAACTTCGAATTTAGTAGGTGGGAATACTACTAATACAGTGAGACAATACCAATGTTCTACCTTAAACCTGTAAGACAGACTGTCTGGTTCTCTACATAGCCTGCATCAGCAACCTCACTCAAATCCTAATACACAAAAATACATGCATAGACACATGTACACACATGCAGATACAGACAGGATTGTAATCTTAGATCACAGAACTAGGACCTTATTTTATTCAATTTAACCAAAATCTATCTTTTCATCATATATACCATACAAAACATTTTAAACATAATATGTGTTAGGTTAATAAAGTAATATAATGCAATTTATTTTCTTGCTTGTTTTATAGATTAATTTGCAGAACTCAAAAGAATACTGTAATACTGGGATTTATGCCACTTGAAAGTGAAAAGCCAAACTGAAAAAGCCCTAAGTGTCTTAAGAAGACTTCAAACTAAATTCTAGGCCATTTACAGACAGAATACCATGGTGGGTGGTGTCATCACTATATGGGACACAGCAAAAGCTTCTACAATATAATTAGTGATTATCACATTCAATTTAATCAAAGAATAGTTTACCGTAACACCAACAGGCCATCATTTTATAGTTATCAGGTGAACCAGAGACCAGAATCTAATTGTGCAAATTCTCTTAATAAATCGTTGGTCTATATGTTTGTTTTGGGGCTGGTTGGTCTAAAATGATTGGTTTATTCATTTTAGACATTCTAATGTTTGATTCTACAATGTATATATTGTGCATTTTACTCCAATGCACTTTTAAATAAAATTGTTGAATTTTCTCTGCAGATTAGTCAGATTATATTTTTCAAAGGTGACCTCAACAATGATACCCATTCTGCAGGCTCTCCTGTCATGTGACCTTGTCCCTTTTCGAACATCAAGAGCTGGAGTCTATTTCTTCACTTCCTTAAGCCTTGGAGGCCCTGTGATTGTTTTGACCAATAAAGCAATAGGGTTGAAGTGTGATCACATGCAAGAAGTGTGATTACCCCATGTCTGCGCTGTGAGAAGCCCAAGCCAAGTGGAAAGGCTCTGGCTGATGGGCTGCCATGCAGGTAGAAGCAGGCCAAGAAACACCAAGTCACCTGACAGTGAATGAAAAAGTCATCTAGGAGTATTTCCTCCAGTCCCACTGCCTCAGCTGACACCATCGGGATGAAAGACAAAACACCCAGTCAAGCTATTTCTGAAGTTCCTCACCTCTAAAACCATGAATAAAATAAAATGGATGTTTTAAGCATCACGTTTTGGGGTGGTTTGGTATGAAGCAATATATGACCAAAACACAGACTTCTAGGGAGATTTCTGCACTCTATTCAAACCTGTATTCATATGTGAAAAGGAAAACTTAAGAGATACAGAAGTCAGCATACTAAAGTTTGCAATCTAGTGAGTGACACAGTGTATAAAACTACAGGGAGACGATCAACAAAGAAACAAATAAGAACAACAAGCCATAAAATAGTAATGGTAATAAACAGAACCCCCAGAAACTTTGGGAATGAAAGAGAAAATCAGTGCTCTGACTTGAGTACAACTGCCAGATAAGGTTTCCTATAGGTAAATTGCATCTTTAAATAATGGTGAGTTAGGATTGTCAGAAAGAGGGTAGACGTTTCTTGAGGAAAATAGTATGAGTGAAAGATTAAAAAAAAGGAAAAAAAAAAAAGAAGGCAAAAATAAAAGACAGAAAGAAAAAAGGATCAAGAAAAACAAAAGTGAGATTAAGAGGAACCATCATAAAACTGGCTTGGCTGGAATAAAGAGCCAATTGGGATTGGAATCGTGTATTTTAGACAAAGACCCATTGTATTTGAGGCAGAAGAATAAACACAAATATTTACACAAATATATATACACAGTGAGCTCTAGTCTAAGAGGCAAGAAAAACCACACAAAGACTTGTTATAAACCCTAAGGCATCACACCCCTAATTTGGATGTGAGTTTGAGTCCACAAAGCAAAGACATAAAATAAATAAGTAATTAGATGTCACACTGTTTTACCCAAACAACCACATTTGCATTTATCTTCAGTGAGGGCACCAGCTGTACCAATGTCACCAGTTAGCAGTCAGCCTTGGGAAACCTTGCCCCACTTTAAAATGTTCCTAGATCTGGCTATACATGGGAATCTAAGAAACAATCAACATATTTGGTAGGCTTTCTTGTCCTGCTGATGCCTCCAAATGACAGTTATTTATGCTGCTATTGAAGAATTGGGAAACGTCTGGGTAGTGTCACTGGACTTACTAATATTTGGCTGCACAATGAACCTTAGACATCATCTTAGTTCAACTGACTTTTGCAAGTGAAAAATTGTGTTACTTAGATTGTGCCTGTTGAGGGACAGAATCATGACTTAAACACACACTTCTGCAAGTAAGTTTAACACAATTCCTCAAGAAAATCTTGATATTCACCTTGAGGATTCCGTCAACATGTCTAGGAAGAAGCATAAAATAGTGAAAAAGAACACAAGAGTGGAGTCCAAAGACCTGGGTTCAATTCTTCTAATCTCTATGAGATATGAAATATGAAGGAAGTAAGTTTCTTTCTTTCTCTAAGTATCAGTGTTCTCTTTGAAAAATTGATATTCATTTGTTCAGTCACAGGCCAGACACTGTTCTAGAAACTTATGATACATAAGTGAATAAAACTGTAATCAATGCTCTTACAGAGCTTACATATACATAACAAACAATAATAAAACAAAATAATATGATCTGACTTTCTGTTAAATGATTACCCTAGCTGCTGTGTTGAAAATTGATTTTAAAGGGTTAAAAGAGGAAAACAAGTTAGAGGCTATTGCAATTATCCAGTAGCAGGTGAATGTGGGCTAGCCTAGAGTGAAAATGGAGGAAGTGAGGGAAGGTAGTTAAATTCTGGATGTATTTTTACTGTAAAGTCAGCAACATTTTCTGATGAATTATAACACGGGGAGTAAAGAGAGGGGTCAAAGGGATGCCAAAATTAGGGACCTGAGCAACTAGAAAGATGCAATTATCATAAACTGAGATGAGAAACTTTCTGGGTGGAAGAGGTATGGGAATAATGACTGGAGATCACTTATAGGCATTAAAATTAGAATATCTACAAGATAGCCTAGCAGAGATGTTGAGTGGGAAACTGAATATTCTAGTCTAGGGTTTTGACTGGCTGAAGACCTTAATATGGGAATTGTTAGGATAAAGATAGTACAGTCTACTTGGTTGCTGCAATTGCATTGGGTAGCACATCCAGAGGGATAGATAAATCTTGTTAAAAATAACATTTTTAAGGGGTAAAATCACCTGATTTTGTTCCATTCTGAAATAAAAAATCTTGCTTGAAAGAATGAAGGATACTCTATCAGTTATCCAACTGTAATACTGCAAAGATCCTTCATTTTTAGACTTGAAGATAACAACAAAAAGTAAATAAATTTAAATGGCTAAAAGTACATTATATACTGAATTCTATATACATTTTACTAAAATGTTGATTCAGGCATATATTTCAAAATTGATTTCAAATTACAGTGTATTTCTTATGTCTGTTTCTAGTTCCTTCTTACAAAGCTTGTACAAACTTTTATCCAGTTTGCCTTAAAAAGCAGGCAATAACCATATTTCTTTGTATGTTTTCGAGTTTCTGGTAATCTACTTCTTTGTATCTCCAATCTTCTTTTCCCTACTAATATGCACTGGGAATTGCCTTAGACTTATCAGGCCCCTTACAATTCAGAGATTTCCGAGTTTCTGTCTGGGCATTGAACTCAAATTTATTCTTACATAGCAAGTCACAGTTTTGCTGAAGAGTTTTCTTTTCCTTTAGAGACCTCTGCAAAATGATGATGACCTGATTGCTACTAAAACTCTGTTTTGTGTTTCTATAATCTTAGTACTCTAAGTTTTTTTGTTTTTCTCTGCTTTTGACCAATTATTTGATTATTTGGGGTTTTTTGTTGTTATTGTTGTTTGTTTGATTGATTGTTTCCTGCCTCCTTCCACAAAGATTTTAAAGATGGTTTCAATCATGTGTCCAATTTGAAAGGCTATAATAAATATATGCCATAGAGCAGAGCTTTCAATGGTATACCATGAATGGTTTTCTGGTACACAAACATACTGACCTCTTGGTTTTCAAAGAAGTAGTTGGGTGACCCAACTCTGGGCTGGCTCCCTCCAGTCATAAGTTGTCTGTTCTGTTTTCCTCAGCGTATGCTATGGTTTCAATGTATCTCCTCCAAAATTCATGCGTTGACATTTAATGGTCAATGGTAGTATTAAGAGGTGGGACTTTTAAGAGATGATTGAGTCACTAGGGCTCCTCCTTCACAAATGAAATTAAGGCCCTTAGAAAAGAGGCTTCAGGCAGAATTAAGCTGCTGTTGCCCTTCTGCTCTCTACCATGTGAGGACACAATATTCTTCCCCCTGGAGGATTCAGTGACAATGCACCAACTTGGAAGCAGAGAGAAGCCCTCACCAGACACCAAATATGCTCCTGCCAGCACCTTGATTTTGAATGTCCCCACCTCCATAACTATGAGAAAATAAATTTCTGTTCTTTACAAATTACCTAGGCTCAGGTATATTTTGTTGTAGCAGCACAAAGGAACTAAGCCTACTATGCAAGTACAAGCATTTTCTTTTGTTTCCGACTTAATAAAAGTTTAGAAAGGTAGTACCTTAATAAACTTTCTGTTTTAAGATATATTAGTTCTTGAGATCTAATGTACAGCATGGTGACTATAGTCAATAAAACTGTATTTTTTACTTGAAATTGGCTAAGAAAGCAGATTATAAATGTCTTCACTGCTGCCCTCCCTTCTATCCCCCACACAAACGTATTCACAAAGGGTAACTGTATGGTGATGGTGTGCTGATGAATTTGATTGTAGTAATCATTACACAATGTATATGTATATCAAATAATCACTTTGTATACCTTAAATATATATAATTTTCTCATGTTAATTATACCTCAATAAATCTGGCTGGAAAAAAAGGAAAAAGCATACTCTATAGTAAAAGAGAAGGAAGGAAGGAGAAAGAAAGAGAAAGAAAGGAAAGAAAGAAAAGAAAAGAGAAAAGAAAAAGGTGGGAAGGAGGGAGGGAGGGGAAGAAGGAAGAATCTAAAAAGTTGCTAGAAACAACAATATTCTCAGTAGCCAAAGCAAAAAAGGAGCCACATAAGATTTCTTTTGTAAAAAAAGAGTTGTTACCATAAAGGGGTCAAACTTTCCTCTGAGGAAACTAAAATTACTTCTCCATGGCTCACTTTTCTGTAGCAAATAATGTCCTAACAATGCACCAACAGTAGAACAATGCTTAATTTTGAATAAATATTTCTATGGGGTCTTTCAATATAGGTTGAGGCACAATGCTGAAATGCTGTTTACTAAAATTCATTTTATAATGACTTACAACAATATAGCATTACTGCCTCACCTTTGGTAGTGTTCTTTAAAAAGAAATATTGAAATATTTTAAAAGTCCTTTAGGCTGGGTGTGGTGGCTCACACCTATAATCCTAGCACTTTGGAAGGCAGAGGCAGGTGGATCACCTGAGGTCGGGAGTTCAAGATCAGCCTGACCAATATGGAGAAACCTCGTCTCTACTAAAAATACAAAATTAACCAGGTGTGGTGGTGCATGCCTGTAATGCCAGTTACCCAGGAGGTTGAGGCAGGAGAATTGCTTGAATTTGGGAGGCAGAGGTTGCAGTGAGCCGAGATTGCCCCACTGCACTCCAGCCTGGGCAACAAGAGCGAAACTCTGTCTCAAAAAAAAAAAAAAAAAGTCCTTTAGATATTTTTCCATAAATATTATCACGAATAATTTTTCTTTTGAGAATAGCAATTAGTCATTAAAGAGTTCAAAGAACATTCCCCAGGGATGAATTCAGTACAAATATTCTGTGTTACATATTTAAAAACCAGCTATGCAGAAAATAAGGTTAACAATTTTCTCATGAAGAATCTAATCAAGACACATATCTGAATAAAGGGCCACCTCACTTGAATGGCCAAGAAGTTACATGCAGTGCCAATATTTTCCTTTTGCAACAGGCCTGGTTTTAAGCCACAGATGGATAAATGGCCAATCAAAGCTTCAAATTTCAAGATCCTATATGGCATGCCATAAGAATTTCAGCTGTGAATTGCCAGTAATCTCTCAGAATAATATAAAGCCAATTAAAATAATTCATTATAAGGATGATGTCTAAAACGCATAGTGTATGCATGTGCTTTCTGATATGAGTATCCTGGGGTAAATAAATGTCTTGTTTTGTACTAAACTATTAGATAGAAACCAAGTAAATATCATTTGACATCTTGCAAGATGAATGAGTTAAATATCAGTGTGTTGATCTTAAACTCTCCTTTCTGGCCATCACATATAGCAAGACTAGTTAAGTATGGGAATTATTTCTAGAGTGTGATAATAAAATCCAATCCTCAGTAATTACTCAAAATAATTGGCATAGTTGAATGTATACAACGCGACATGCTCTTTTCTAATCGCTTTGCACATATTAACTCATTCAATCTTTACAACTCTTTGAGATAAATACATTAGGATTCTTACTTAAGGAAACTCAGATACTAGGACATTATTTCATTTGCTTAAGATTACATAATTAGAAAGCAGAGAAAATGAGATTATAAACACGGCAGTCTGATCCTACAGTTTACATTTTCATTATCATTTTATACTTCCCAGTATACAGAAGAATTCTCTTTCCAGTCTCTTTACAAGGAAACATCTTCCTATCTCATTTAAGCCAAATCATATCACTAACATACAATTTGAAATGCATAGAAAGTAAAAAACAAAAACAAAAACAAAAAACTCGTCACTAAAGACTGCAATTATTTCTGCCTTTTTTGTAGTCTATCCTTCTGTTTTCTAAAACCTAAAGTCTATCCTTGTGATTGGCCACTTTCTCCTTCCACCTCCTTCTCCTCCTCCTCTTCTCCTCCTTCTCCCTTTTCTCCTTCTCCTCCTCCTTTTTCTCCTCCTCCTCCTTTTTTTTTTTTTATAAAGAATCATAACTTTCTAATTGGGGTCCAACATGTTTACTCTTTTTTCTCATAGGCAAAATCCTGCATACCAAAGCATTCTTTCATAGCTCTGTCAAATTGTTTCTGAGTGTAGATACTACAGGTGATTAATGTTTAATCAAATTTTATGTTAAAAAGTATACAAGCTAGACTTTAAAAATGAATTCTGCGAGAAAGTTTTCAGTAAGCCCATGCGACACTTTGAAAATATTCGGTGCTTTGGGACTTTGAAGGTCCTTCTCACATTTAGGTAAAAAAACTGTCCTTGAATTAACTGTCATTGTCATATGACATTATCAATGTCACAACTGTCATTAACTCTTGCTGTCAGTGAAGTCTTGGTGTTTTCTAAAAATTACACTTAGAATTGAAACACTTTAAGTAGGAAATTAATACTTAACAAGGTATCTTATCAAGGTTGGTGGGAAATTCTGTCACCTGCCCAGTTGTTTCCATTCATTCTATCATAAAAGAGATAACAGCTGAGATGGAAGAGGAATCACTGAGAAATGGCACTGAAAATGATTTTTTGACATGCAGAGAAGAGTTTTGCTGACTGTTCAGAGACATTTAGAATAGGTCCATTTCTCTCGATGTGAAAGCTGCTTCCTAATGGTAATGAAAGGATCATGTTACAATACCAACACATTTTTATGAGTGCCTTTACGGTAAAGAATTACTGCGTTTGTCTTTCGTCAGAGCTCTTTTACTCATGTTTGGTTTTCTTTTTTAACTCCTTTCTCCAGCTTTACATGTTTACACTAGGTTTTTATACTGTGAGAGTGAAGAATGAATCACATAGGTGACTTTCATCTGCAAACAACAGACTGGCAAAGATAGAGGGGAAAAATAAGTATCAGAGAAATTATCGCAGAAGTTCACTTGCTATCATGAAAACTGAGGCTATAGATTTCATTTAAGTGATAGCAGTCTTATTTACCAGGACAGGAGACAACTAACTAATTAACAAATTGCAAGTTTTATTTATTTCATATTAATTTCATATAATATCTATTGCCTCTTTTTTTACCTTATTTCAGGCATTTTATTTGGTCATAAGGTTAAAATAATCCATGAAAATTGGACTCTGCCCTCAATTTGCTCACAATTTAGAGGGCAAGTATACCAAATAAACAATTGATATTAATTTCACAGTCATAGACTCACTTATGCAAAACTGGCATTTCCAGGTTAGCAGTGGATCTAGCCTGTTTCAGACACCTCCAGTTTTAAAACTTAGTTTCTTTGTTGTTCACATGTCAATTAATTCAGGGGTTTCACTCCCCACTTGTCCTTCCCTTCTGCTTGGGTGGTTTCTGGTGTTGGAGAAGGCTCACAGACTATGGTATTCAGGAAGCTGGAGGTGGGAGGAGTGGGCACATTTCCAATCCATAGTAATCACCTGGC